ATAGACCTATCAAGACTTTTTCCCTACTGCTCAAAATAGCTTTTGAACTTGTCGATTTTGATGCCTTTTAGTGCTTCTGAGATTTTTTGTTTCTGCTCTTCCACATCAGCAAAACATTTCCCTTTGAGGACTTTTTTCATCCAGAGAAACAAAAACAAAACAGAAGTTGTTCAGGGCAAGGTCAGGTGAATAGGAAGGGTGGGCCAGGGAGGTCAGCCATTTTGGCCCAAAACTGCAAACAGTGCAGTGTGGGCAGGCGCACTCATAAATCGCCCATCGTGAAATGGTCAAACAAGTTGAAAGAGTCTTCAGAAAAAATTCCCTGAAGCCTACCGTAGCCTCTCACAACAACGCCAGCTGGTGCACTGATACAGGTGGGTTCCTGGAACACTCACCCAGCAGGGGAAGCTTGGACTACAAGGGGCCCTCCCTCCAGAATATAATTCCGGGTTTTTTGGCCCTCCTCTGATCTTTTTAAATATCTTTAGTATCTCTTATGATCATCTTCTGGATTTGTAAATTGTTTCTCTTTTTTTAGGATTTTACACAGATTTTATCTTATTTTTTATTGTTTAAATTAATTTTTAAAAATTATTTTATTGTTGTTCAAGTACAGTTGTCTGCATTTACCCCTCATCACTCCCCGCTAACCCAGCCATCCCCACCTCCCTCCCCTGCTTCCACTCCCCCTTGGTTTTATCCACGTGTCCTTTATAGTAGTTCCTGAAACCCCCCTTCCCCCCATTTTCCCTCCCACCTTCCCTCTGGGTACAGCTAGATTGTCCTTAATTTCAGTTGTTTCTATTGTTCATAGATTCTCCATTTCAGTGATTTCTACTCCTTATTGTTTCTTTTTTTCTACTTACTTTAGGTGTAATTTGCTTTTCCTTACTAGTGTCTTAAGATCTGAAACCCTTCTTTTCTAACATAAGCATTTCAAGATATAAATGTCTCATGCTGTATTTGCATACCACAGATTTTGATTTGATGTTTTTTAAGACTTTATTTTTTAGAGAAGTTTAAGGTTTACAACAAAATTGAAAAGAACAGGGATTTCTCACATAGCCCTGCCCCACACATGCATAATTTTCCCTGTTATCAGCATCGCCCATTTGCTATGAAGTATGAACCTACACTGATACATCATAATAGCCCAAAGTCCACAGTTCACCTTACTTATGCTTAACTCTTGGAGTTACACATTCTATGGGTTTGGAAAAATGTGTACTGACATATATCCTTCATTAAAATATCATAAAGAGTTTTTTCGCTGTTGTAAACATTCTCCCTACTTTGCTGTTCATTCCCCCTCTGTCCCCACTCTACAACCACTGCACTTTTTATTTTCTTCTTCATTTTACCTTCTCCAAAATATCCTATAGTGGGAATCATACAGTATTTAACCTTTTCAGATTGGCTTCTTTCACTTAGTAATTTACATATCAGGTTGCTCCATGTCTTTTCATGACTTAATAGATCATTTCGTTTTAGTGCTAAATTACAGTCCATTGTCTGGTGGACCAGAGTTTATTTATCCATTCACATACTTAAGGACATCTTGGTGGCCTCCAGGTTTTGGCAGTTGTAAATAAAGCTGCTGTAAGCATCTGTGTGCAGGTTTTTTGGTGGGTGTGTTTTCAGCTCATTTGGGTAAATATAAGAAACATGATTGCTGAATCATAAGGTAAGAATATGATCAGTTTTGTAAGAAACTGCCAAACAAACTTCGTTCCAAAGTAGTTGTACCGTTTTGCATTCCCATCAGTAATGAATGAGTATCCCTGTTGTTGCATATGCTTGTCAGCATTTGGTGTTGTCAGTATTCCAAGTTGGGCCATTATAGTAGGTAGTGAAGTGGATGTATCTTGTTGCTTGAGCTTGCATTTTCCTGAGGATGTGTGATGTGGAGCCTCTCTTTATGCACTTATTTACCATCTGCATATCTTCTTTGGCAAGGTGTCTATTGAGATTTTTGGCCCATTTTTAAGTGGGTTTTCTTACTGCTTAGTTTTAAAAGTTCTTTGTACATTTTGTACAGCAGCCCATTATCAGGTATGTCTTCTGCAAATAGTTTCTTATAGTCTGTGGTTTGTCTTCTAATCCCCTTAACATTGTCTTCCAAACAGCCAAAGTCTTTAGTTTTAATAAAATCCCACTTATCAGCAGTTTACTTCATGAATCATATCTTTTGTGCTATACCAAAAAAACCCCAAGTCATAACCCAGGTTATTGAGGTTTTCTGCTATGTTATCTTCTAGAATTTTTGTAGTTTTGCATGTGATATTTAGGTTGTATGATCAGTTTGGAATTAATTTTTGTGAAGGCTATAAGGTCTATATCTAGATGTATCATTGTGGTGTCCAGTTGTTCCCACACCATTCCACAACAGGTTCAGAGAGACTATCTTTGTTCTGTTTTATTGCTTTTGTTTCTTTGTCAAAGATCAGTTGACTATATAGGAGTGGGGAGGTGTTAGATGTGTTGTCATTGTTATTTTGTCCTGAATATTTTCTACAGTCACTTCAAGGTCTTCTTAGATGCACAGATTATTTAGAAGTAGGGTATTTACTTTTAAAATATTAGGGATTATTTTATATGTCTTATCATTGTTTTCTAATTGAAGTCATTGTGGTCATATATCACACTGTGTAAGATATACTTTAAAATGTAATGATATTCACCCTGGCTGGTGTGGCTCAGTGGATTGATTGACAGCCTGAGAACTGAAAGGTCTCTGGTTCAATTCCCAATCAGGGCACACGCCTGAGCTATAGGCCAGGTCCCCAGTTGGCAGCATGAGAGAGACTACCAATCCATGTATTTCTTGCACACTGACATTCCTCTCCCTCTCTTTTTCCCTCTCTTCCCTTCTTTCTAAAAGTAAATAAATAAAATCTTTAAAAATTATTTTTAAATCTAATCATACTCATTTTATGGCCCACCATATAGTTCTTCTGTTGGACATAGGTTATGTCATGGAAAAATAATGTTTATTTTATAATCATTGGGTATTAGCATTCTGTAACTGTCAATTATGTCAACATTGGTGACAATGTTGTTCAAATATCCTATATATAATATTAGATATATATAATTAAATGTATGAGGTGACATTGGTTAATACATAAGATTATGCAGGTTCTGAGTGTATGATTCTATAATACATCATCTGTATACTGCATTGTGTTTGTGCCGCTCAAAGTCAAATCTCCTCCCATCAACATATGCTTGACTCCCTTTACCCAGTACAATACCCTTTGCTGTTAGGTTCATGTACATTTAGGATCGTTATGTCGTCTGAAGAATGTATTATTATTCTTCATTTTCTTATTTCTCTCTTTATATCTGCTAATATTCTTCCTCTCAAGGGATTTTGTGTGACAGTATTATGGCCCAAACATTTATCATTTACATGTTATATCATTTTTATTCTTTACCCTGAACCTACTTGGGTCCTATCACTGTTCCTGGTCCCAACAGACAGGCTCGGAGATAGAGATGATGCCAGGAGTTGGCTGGGCTGTGCTGTCAGTGGGAGTCACTTTTGGGAAGATGAAGGAAGCATAATCAGAATGGGAGGCATTGATCTTCACTGCAACTGCAACAAAGGTCTCAGCTGATCTGTGGGGACTCTTGACTCCTGTGACCCTAAGGGCTGGGGAGCGGCCTTTCTAGTCTTTCACTGACTAGTCAGTAGTCAAAGGCTACTTTCTTGTTTTTTTTCTTTGCAGTGTTATCTTTTTTCTATTTTTGTTCAAGTACAGTTGTTGAAGGCTACTTTCTGAAAGGATGTGATCTCCAGTAAAGTGAATCTCTTTAGTTGAGGGCAAACCTTGGAAAGAAATTCAGTCGAGAGCTGCCAGTGGGTAGCAACCCTGCAGGGGGAGGAATGAGTTTTCAGTTGTAGGCTGGGGTCTGGGCAGCCCACCACAGTATCACAGTGTGCTTGTGTTCAAAATCCTTCTGGGACAGATCCCCAAAAGGTGTGTCTTGGTTACTAAGTCAATATTACAGTCTTTGGCTTTTTTTGGAGTGCTTAGTCTATTGATATTTATTGTAATCTTTGGTTCATTGTGTTTGAGTGTACTATCTTGTTATGGGTTTTCTGTTTTTCACGTACATTCTGTCTTTTTTCCTGGTTTCTTTGAGATTAATCACATTTAAAAATGTTTCAGTTATTCTATTGCCATTTTGTTATACTTATTTCTATTTTTTATTAATATTTAATGGTAGGTCTTACTTAATGTATCCTAAACTTGCTTTTTATCTAAGCTTATTGTAACTCCTCATGCCAAATGAAAGAACCTTAAAAGAATATATTTTTGTGCTGTTGTCCATGTATATTACTGCTATAACATTTTACAAATTACACAATACAGTGTTAACTTGTTTCATTTCTCTGTATTTCTTGAATAAAGAGAAGAATAAAAGATAATCTTCTAACCCTGGCTGGCATAGCTCAGTGGATTGAGCGCGGGCTGGGAACCAAAGTGTCCCAGGTTCGATTCCCAGCCAGGGTACATGCCTGGGTTGCAGACCATAACCCCCAGCAACCGCACATTAATGTCTCTCTCTCTCTCTCTCTCTCTCTCTCTCTCTCTCTCTCTCTCTCTCTCTCCCCCTTCCCTCCCTAAAAATAAATAAATAAAATCTTAAAAAATAAATAAATAAAAATAAAGTACTAAAAAAAAAAGATAATCTTCTGTAGCAAGAAAACTCGGCCAACATCTACCTTTCTACCAATCTTTATTTCTTCCTCTAGATCTGAGTTTTTATTTGGCTACAAATAACAAATTATGGGGGTTAACTACTGTGGAAGCTTTATTTATTAATGTTTAATGGACAGGCCTATTCTCCAGGTTAGCCAAAAAGTCATAGCTATTGGTTTCAGTTCTTATGATTGTGAGGTCACATCCATGCTCAGCAGAATATGTATGTGGTTTATTAAGAAATCATTGCTGAAATTTCAACTCTGGCTCTTCTGCTCCCGGCTCAAACAGGTCTATGGAAATGCAGGACCTAGCAAGTCCTCACCCTCTTGTTGGAGGCGGTGATGCTCCAGGCAGCTCCAAACTGGAGAAAGCTAACCTCAGCAGCACGTCGGTCACCACAAATGGGACAGGAGGCAAGTGTACAACCTTGAAGACACCCAGATCGCATTTTAATGCTTGTTGCAACTTCATATGTTAGGCATCTGCTAATAAATAAATATCTCATTAGCAATAACACAGTCAGCATTATATGCAAAGAATATATAGTTAATGGATTATTTGTTTTTTGGTTCATTTTCTTGAAATTTTTGGTGCACCTCTAAAACTGGAAACATTGAGAAAGAATAGAAAGCTCTGGGCAACATTTTGAAGAAGACCTTTACTGGGAATTCCTGTTTTCATTTGCCCTTGTGAATATTTTTTAAAATGTAGAAAATGTGGCCAAAGGATTTGCATGAGAAGAAGAAATCATCTTATTTCTCAGTTAGATTTTTATTTGTGTGAGAGAAAAACTACTCCAAATTTTTTTCTTAAAATATGTTTTTTCTTAAAAATAATTTTGGAAGTAGAAAAATCCATATCTGCTGCAATTTCTTTTCAAAGAGAATAATATCTAGCATGTATTTAAAATAGAATTGAGTTTTTTCTAGATACCTTCTTATTTGATTAACCCATAATTATTCCACAGCATATGACAACAGTAACAGTTATTTCAAATATTCTTCCCTATTGTTGTTAAAAATGTATTCAATTTGCCAGAAAATATACTCTTATTTTAACATCAGAATATATAGACTACACATATACACACATATATGTATAATCTGCATTTTTAATTATTCACAATTATTGTGAAGTTTTGTAGATCTAGTTGTTTTATTCACTAATTGAGAAACTATATGAAATTTAATTTATAAACTTCATATTACTAGACATCAGCATTTGCCACATCATATTTTCTTTTAAATTTTCAATAAATATTTATAAAATTGATCACCTCTTTTCATTTATTTTAGAATAACTGTGCAATCTAAAATTTCCCTTGTAAATTTGTGTGCATTGCAACTTGCCTGTATTTAATAATATTGTACACCAAACCCTCTGTAGATTAACATTTTTCTTGTTTATAATGTTTATTTGTCTCTAAACACGCATCTCTAGTTTCAGCTAATTAATTATAGAATTGCAAATTTATAAGATTGTTTAGTGATGACTTCTGGAGTAAAAACATTAGCATTTAAAACTTAGCTTGGTGCAAACCATAAAATTTGTAAAGAACTCATGCATTCTGGAATCAGACCTTGGAGTTCACTAATCATCACATGTACTTATTTAACTGAACTAAAACAGATCTGATGAACTGAAATGTAAAAGTCGTACCATGCAATTACAATGTTTGGCCAAAGGTCAGAAGCCAGTGCAAGCTTTGAAGACTCTCCCTGTACACTGAGCAGGCATTCAGACAATGAACCCTGTGCTGTTCCTGTTCTCAGGGGACAACATGACTGTTTTAAACACTGCAGACTGGTTGCTGAGTTGCAGCACCCCCTCTTCTGCAACAAGTATGAAAGATGATGGTACACTGCATGTGTTTGGGTGTGTGCATTGGCCCTTCTGGTTTGCTTTCCATTGCTATTTCTGTGTTTGCACCCTTTTTTTCTGTGTCCAGGACTCGTAAAGAAAATGGAGCAATGAACAATGTCATTTAGTTGTTTATCGATAATGGTGGGCTATGGTTTTCATATCAACTAGTGTTCTCATCTTAGATTCTTTAGATCAGTAGTATTCTTTTCTTAGATTCTTCATAATTTTGCAAAATTGGGTGCTTTGACTATTTTTCTAACTACATATCAATTTATTAAGTGGTGATTGAGCACAAAAGTCATGTCCATCAGAACATTTGAAGCAGATTGTGGATACATATGTACAAACTCCATTATCTTTATATCCTATGAATTCTCATAATTTAAAGTGAATTTTTAATGTTGCAAGTGATATTAGAGACTTTATTAAATATTCCAGTCGAGGTACTTAAAGTAACATTAGTATTTATATATATTAGTATTTATGAGAGTAATATATTTAAAATTATAAATTAATGTTGTTTCTTAAAATGTTTTGAGCTATATTTACTACATTCACATATGCAATATATATTAAAGTATAAACAAAATTTTCCTAAATCAAAAGTTAATACATGATCAAAATTTAAAAATAAAAACAAAACCATAACACAGTTGGTGGAACCACCCAATTTTCAGATGAAAAAGAAGAGCTTGCTATCTGTCAGAAATGTGCACTACAAGTGAGCAGTTGGAGGGGATACAGTTCGCCTGGACCTTGCTGCATCTCAGACTGTATTAGGATACATGACCAGTGAAGGAAGAACATACCATTGTGCCCATTACTTACACATTTATAGTTTTAGTTTCAAATTTTTTCCAGTTCCACACTTAAAATACACATTGCCAGAATTTAGTTCCTCTTAATTCTAATTCATGGGTCTTTTTCTATAAAGAGCCAGGTAGTGAGTATTTTAGGTTTTATAGATCACACCACCTCTGTCTCCACTACTCAGCAATGCCATCATAGCTCAAAAATAGCCATAGGCCATACATAAATGAATTAATGTGGTTAAGTTCCAATAGAACTTTACTTAGGGATCCTGAAACTTAAATTTTATATAATTTTTCAATTGTCACAAAATATACCATATTTGATCACTTTTAAAAACCTTGAAGTTGTAAAAAATATTTCTAGCTCACTGGCCATTGTTGTGTTCTAAAGTATCACTAATACCATAAAGGCAACTTTACAATAGTAAGTATACATATTGAATATTTAGTAATTCATATCTAATCTTAACCAGAAACCTTTTTCTGAGTGTTACGCATCCAGTTTTTCTGGTTCTTATTGTTAATATTAAGCATCATGTGGTCACATGGGAAGTGCAAGGACCTGTATGTCAGGAGGACACTGAACCTGCCTCTCCGCACTGCACCTATTAGCTGTGTCACCTGGAACAAGTTACTGAACCTTCCTGAGCTTCCATTTCTGTCTACGAAAGAAGCTTAATAACACTTCCCTGGCAAGGATTTTTGTCTTAAATTAGATAATGTATGTAAGTTGTGTAGTAATAAGTAACCAGAATATTGCCTTATTTAATTAGTAATTTAATCATAATTAGGCAGCAAATTCTTGAAGAAAATGTAAACATGCATTATGTTAAAATACTCTCCAATGTTTGATCAGATAGTAAATTTGTCTGCATTTAGAATATGTTAATTGGCCACAGAAGGCAAACTTTTAGTAACAAAATGTTAAGTATGCTTTATTTTTTAATTTTTATTCTTTTGTCCTCACTCAAGGACATCTTTTTATTGTTTTTTTTTTCTTTTTTGAGAAGGAGGAAGGGGAAGAGAGAAACATCAATGTAAGAGAGGGAGAGAGTTGCCTCATGTAGGCTTCCCTCCTGGGGATCGAACCCACAATCCAGGCATGTGCCCTGACTGGCAATTGAACTTGCAGCCTTATGGTGTATGGGACAATACTCCAACCAACAGACCACACTGGCTAGGGCTATACTTTGATTTTTAATGATATAGTCTCTGTGGTGTATTGATATGAAATTTTTAATTACTTTAATGAATTTTATGTGAGATGTTTGTAACATAAACTAAACATTTGGTGCATAATCTCTCCAATTAAGAATAAGCTATTTTATTTTTAATCCTGGGTTTTATTGTTGCTAATTGAATAAAATTTTTATAATAAAAAAAGCAAAACTAATTTAGTGTCTTTTTAAGAACTTTACATTAACTTTGAGATTTTCAAAAATGTAATTTTAATTATATAGTTTATACTGATATGAATGTGTTGATAGAATTACTGAAATAACCCACCACACTTCATTTTCTATTTAAATATATTACATTATTACTTTAAAATGTTTTATCACCTTAATCCTAATTATTTAATTGTATCTGCAGATTTATATTGGTACCTAGATTTCCCTTTCAAATATTTATCACATATAAAATTCTTAAAATGTAGAGCTATTAATAAGAATAGAGTAAATGTAATCATGCCTTAGCACTTAGATCAGTGATCAACAAACTTTTTATGCAAAGGGTCAGATAGTAAGTACTTTAAGCTTTGCAGACCATGTGGTCTCTGTTGTAACTGTTCAGCTTGGCTATTGTTGCACAAAAGCAGCCATAGACAATGTGTGAATGATTGAACTTGGCTGTGTCCAAATAAAACCTGGTATGTAACACTGAAATTTAAATTTTATAAAATGTTACATCACAGAAGTATTATTACTCTTTTGATATTTTCAACTATTTAAAAATGTAAGTCATTCTTAACTCATGGGCTATTCAAAAACAGGCCACAAAGCAGATTTGGCACATGGGTTATAGTTTGCCAACCCTATGGGTTATACTTTGCCAACCTCATATGCATATGTATATATACATATATGTATATGTATACACACATATGTGTATACATATGTGCCATGTGTATACACATACACACTATAGATGAAGTGTACATACTTCATGTATATGCATATTCATGCATGCAAATGAATGCCAATTACATAAAAGTTAATTCCAGATACAGGAAAAACTCTAATTTGCTTAATGGTGTCATATTTATGATTAGCTATACTTTATAAACAAAAATACTTAGATTGATTGCAAGTGCTTAGGATAGGGTCTAAAAGTGAATTTTCACTTTCTCAATTAAAATGTGGCAAGTTCCTATTACATGCCAGGCCCTGTGCCAGCAAATGGAAACCCAGTGACCTGTAGAACACAGGACTGGCCATCAGGGGAGCAACAGTCCAGCAGAGGAAAAGAGACGAAGAAAATAATGAGTGTGCAATGTTTTCAGGGTGGGTGCACAGTAAAGGGAGGGAATATTTGATTCTACATGATGATTAAGAAAATACTTGAAAGCGATTTGGTGAAACCAAAATTAGATATTCTAATCGGGTTTATAGTGTTTTCTACACAGGGGTAGGCAAAAGTAGGTTAATAATAATAACAATCATAGTTAATAAATAAATAATATAAGAATAAACTCTGTGCATCCTCACAATTATAAACCTACTTTTGCCCATCCTTGTATTTAAAATCTATATATCATGGGAAATAATCTTCCAGAATATTTACTGTATCAATGATTGACTCACACGTGGTGAATTTGTTTCTGAATGTTATATACATGTGCCATAGAGCCACTTGCTGTTCTGGCTCTATACTTTTGAGATTTGCTTTCTGGAATGAGAGCCATAAATTGCTTCATCAAAATATTTTACAAAATTAAGTATTTTATGGGTATTTAGGAATGAAAGATACTTGGAGCTCATAGGTGTCTGAGTGAATATATTGATTTAGATAAACATAAATCACAGCCTGTAGTGACTATTAAAATTGACAGGCAATACTTACTGTTCCCCTGCAGTGGTGTAAATTGTATCCTTCCTGATCTAGCTCCTTCTGAAATTCTTTGTAAAAACTATACTGTAAAAATTTGCTATGTTTAATTTTATGGTTCAGAAAGGAGTGTATTTGGAATTACATATATATACTCTTTGAAGTGGGCACCAGTTTAAAGGCAGATTTCTGAATATAAAATATAAAATGTAAATCACTTGGGTCCCCTTTTTCAAGGGTTAAGCCGGCTATTGCAGCAAATGCACATGAACATTGTTACAATAATAAAACAGACTTTCTCCAAAAACTGTACACAATAATGTTATACCTGAGTTCTAAAGATAAACTGAAGGGACAAGATTAAATTTGCTCTGAAAATATTCGTATGAGGATATGGATGGAGGTTGGGACGTGGAGAGAGGAAGTCAGTGATTTAGCAACCATAGCTGGCACCTGACAATAATCGTTGCTTTAAATACAATCTTGATTTAATCTGTAGATTATTTTTAAAAGTTAAAAAATCTAATATATTAATTTGACCCTTTAAAAAACTATTAGGCTCAGATAGAAACATCCAAATGGCAATAGGATTACCAGTCGAGAGAGGGACCAAAGAATTTATGTATTTCTTGAAGTAATGCTTCTGTACAAAGGGCTGTATATAGTTTTTTAATTTTACTTTTATGGAAATGAACCCTTATTTTGAGCATTTAGAAAACTACAGAACTCATTAACCTAGGACATTATAATAAAATTGCTGCTTTTGAAATCAAAACATTTGTTTGTAAGTTTGAATTTTGTTGAAAATATGACACTGTTCTCCTATAGAAGGTTATTTTTACCATTTTATAGCATGTAATGATATCCAACACAGCTCTCAAAATAAGTTTAATGTCCCATTTAACTTCTGTGTAATATTAAGAAAAATAAAATACAGTTACAAAAATTCATTGGAACATGGCATAAATATATACTGGTAACCATTTGGAATGAGGATTTTTACAAGTTTTAGAAAATAGTAACGTGCATAAAATTGATGAACATCTTTCCAATAGTGCTTTGCACCTAATTTTAAAAAACCTCCTGCCCTTAGAAAAACATATAATAAATCTAACTTAAAGTAGGAAACAACAGCAAGACAAAAGACAATTGTAATACATTTCAAGTATATTTAGACCTTTGATGAAATTAACTTCCACTTTTCAAGTTTTAATTATAATTTTTACTTTATATTAGTTACTTGTTTTATAAATAGTAAGATACTTTTTTTGTATTTTAACACCTTTTTAATAATTCAACCAATCATATGAATAATGCCCATATTAATTTTCTACCTGCATTTCTGTTCCTGAAGAAAACAAATTATTATTACCAAATATTCTTCTCTCTTTATATAATCAGACCAAAATAACTTTGCATCTTACCTGCGGTTCAAGAAATGTTTGTTGATGCTCACCTAATGTGAAAACAATTTATTTTCAGTAGCAGCATAATTGATTTCCCCATTCCCTCTTGTTTTACTTTTACCTGCATATGAAAAATAAAGTTGCATTAATGTGTAGCTTTTTTCTCCAAATGTTGAATTTTTCATTTGCTGAATTATCACTTTAAAATCCATGCCTTTTAGTACACTGAACACATCTCGATATTTATGCTTTTCTTCATATATTTTCTAGGGATGACTTTTCTGAGTAAAGCAAATTTTCTTTGTCTTTGACTAAATGCAGACCTTTAAAGTTTTAATGAGATGTTTCCAGTATAATGAATACAAACAGGAACTCTCACTCTTCTTCTTACTTTCTGTTTGTTGACCACCTGAAACTTTCAAATTGAGGAGATTATAATCAACACAAGACTGTATTTCTGAAATCAAGTCTCAAAGTTGCTATTCAAAGTATATAACAAAACTAATCTTTACGTCTGGCTTCTAGACTTTTTTCAGGCACAGGTCTCATTCCGCTCCCCTCCCGCCAATGCACAAGTGACCTATATATTTCTATTGGCATAACTAAATGTATTTTACAATTGTGTTCATAGATTTAGATAAGTTTAAGTAGGAATTTGGCCACAATTAGAATTCGAAAGTTCTGAGAATCTTTCTCTGGTCTTGGTTTGCTGAAGGCTTTGAACTGTGTCTTTCTGTCATAAATGTCAGGAGTGAAATGGGGACACTGCATCCCAGAGAACCTTTATGCCCACCTAGATCGCACTCTGGGTCATCTTTATACAGATACAGATACAGATGAGAGGAACCCGTGGTTAGTGAGTGCTGCCTGCAAAGGCAGTGTGGTCTGGAGTTTAGATTCTGAAACTGCACCACCTGGTCTCAAATTCTAGTGCTTACAAGCTCTGTGGCTATAGGCAAGTTATTTAACCTCTTTGTGCCTCCTTGTTTCTGCATCTGAAAAATGAAGATGATAGTATTACCTACCTCATATGATTGTCATGAGGAGCAAATGAGTTAATGTTTATAAAGCACAGCAGGGGCACCTGGAGTGTATTAAGTACCTTTTAAGTGTGTGCTGGTATTATCTGCTTTCCAACTTGCTACTTCTTTTTGTCTTTTTAAATATTTCATGAGGGAAAAATGGAAAACATACTTTATTAGCCTATTCCCAGGTTTGCAGTTTTCATTATTAACAAAGTGTGCCTAATTACTTCGTCTAAAAAATAACCCCATTCTGATCACTTTCTGAGCCATTGTAAACAGCCACTGTCGTGAGCATCAGCCATTTTCCTTCCTGAAGACTGCCCGTTACAGCAGCGGATAGACCCTGGATTTAGAGCTCAGGACCTGCGTCTGACCTTAGCTCTCTCGTCTCCTGCAGTGGGAAAGTCACTCAGCCCACACAAATGTTCTCCTCGTGTATAAAATAGATACAGTGGTTCACATCGATCAAGGTTGTTTTAAGGATTAGTGAAATAGAAATAATCTAGTACATATTAAGCACTCCATAAATAATTACATAGTAGTAAGTTTGGAGTGGTATGTTTAATTAGTGATCAGCTATAAGCATAGTATGGACTGCTCTACAAATTACTACTAAAAAGTAGTAACCACAATTTATTATTTATCATTATACAAATAAGTAGACACTGCTTCTCAGAGTATTGCTGCTGTTGAAAAGGGGGCCAACCTTAAACTTCCCTTTTGCTAGGAGAAGAAATCCAAGTTTCTTTATTCCATCTTTCCAACCTGTTAGAGTTCTTGGAACCTTCCAGCAAACCTTCATGACATTACTGAATCTTGAGAACTAAATTAACCCCAGAGCTCCCAAAGGGAAGGTCCAGAAAATTGTGTTCATGTGGGAAGAGAGCGTAATCATCACCGCACGTTTCTCCACTAATTCACTGCTTTTCTAACAGAGTAACATTGCTGACTTGTTCGGGTTGGTGGGACCGCTCTGGCCCATCGCTCTTTTCATCGTATTTGTTCCCGGTTGGCTAGTCTTCAGCTTTCTTCTTAGAGTTTCTGCTTGCTTCTGAGTGACTTAACTGTATCATTCCGGGAAACAGAAGAGGTGTTAAGTAGAAAATAATTCAGTGTATTCCCTTGCTGCTGGGATATGTGTAGCAGAGCTGTGCCCACAAGGGGAAAATATGGTGTGACAAAATGAGCAGAGGCTGTTCTATGCTCCCCCTCCCCGCCCACGCACATTGAATAAGCGCAGCATCGGGTGCCAGGCCGCACTGCTGCCAAGTGAGGATTTTCCCAAAATGCACCGCCTCAAAGTAGGAGCAACATATTAACAAGTTTCCAAAAGATATACTTATTGCCGAAGAATCATCTCTTATTCTAGGATTCTCTCTGACTCACTAAAAATCATTACGCCATTAAAATAAAAAGCCCAACACCTTATATATAGTTCTTTAGTCTCTCTTAAAAGCAAAAAATTTATTGAGTGCCTAATTTTTCACCCAACACATAAATATGCCCCTGGTTTCTGTATTTTAATATGCCCCCATTGTACTCTAGTGCAATCTTTTTTTAAAAAAAAATATCTGCTTGAAGAAGAATAAACTATAAGCTAGTACATCTCTTTGTCATGTTTTGTATCAAAAGTCCTAAAGACTGACTGATGGTTCCTTTTTTTTTTTTTTGTCTTTTGACTATAATATCAGAGTATGCTTTAGGTGGGTTAAAAAAGCAAAGTGTATAGTGCTGTTTCAACTTTTGAAGGTTGGCTGCCTTTAAAAATCGGATTCAAGAGAGCTAGCTTAGCCAGGGGATTTTTAGATTAAATTCTCTACAAATGCATGTCCATTTAAAAGCTAAATTAACACAGTTCTCTTCATCGACTTCTCAAGTTCTCTCTTGCATGCCCATGGTAGCTAGAAAAATCCACTAGTAGAACAGTCAGCATCTTTGATATCAATTTAGAAATAAAACTCACATGTACTTATTCTTCTACATAGTGTCTCTCCTTGCAGTCAAAACAGAGCCTTTGAACAGCAGTGAAACCACAACCACGACTGGAGATGGAGCGCTTGACACTTTTACTGGGTCAGGTAAAGCCTTAAGCTCGTGTGTTGTTACGTACACATAATTCTCCTAGTGAGTGAGCAGCAGAAACACCAAAGCTATTAGAACTTGGGGTTTTATACATTTAGCAATAAATTTACTTTTTTGAGAATTGATTGTCATACAACTATGTATTTTTAGAAATTATATTTGAAATCATAGTGTTAAATTTTTTTTAGTTGAGAGCAAAACAATCCCCCTGACCTTTTTTATTAGAAATAAGCAGAGCTGGCTTCCTTTGTTTTACACAGTGCTGAATTTAATAATTAGGTTGTAATAGCTGACTTTATTCCGTCAACTTCCTCACTTAAGTGACACAAAAACTGCCTTATTCCCTATATTTGAGATGAACTATCCATTCGATTCCCTCTAAATAACCTTGTTTCCTCCCTGGGTTTAAAAAAGTCCTCCTGTGTAAGCAGCTGAGTGACAAGTTTTAAAGGTTAAGAGGCTGCAGGGGAGCACATGCTGGTTGCATTAGGACCCTGACCCTGAGAGTGCTACTTTCACTCAAATGCTTCAGAGAGAACAATAGTGTGTCTTTAACATCAATCCTTCTCAAATACAAATACCTGATAACTCCCAGGTGGGCGCAGAGGGCACGCATTATGTTGACTTAAAGTTACAATATTTTGTCTGGTTTATTATCTGGTGAGAGGATTCCTTTTTTTTTCTTTTAATATGAGGAGGAATGTATAAAGTATAAAGATAAACATTAAACTTAGGGAAGTATTTGTGGTAGGTAATTAAATCTTAGTTCTGTTATTCTATTTGATTTTGCATTTGTCTACCTTCTCGTGGTCAAGGATTTTTGGTGGGTGAGCTTCGTGTGAAGAGTTGAGGTAATACAATAAAACATTCACCAGTTGAAAACAGAGTTGAGGCATGTCCTTGAGGATCATGTCACTATAGCAGATATTGGATTTTTATAGGTACAGATCATCCCATCCCATGAGCTCACACTGATCGGGAGCACCTTTCATGTAGTCACATAAATATTAGTACTTCAAACAGAAAGACGTAATGCTTCATACACTCCCCAGATGCGCTAATCTACATTTTTTCTGGCAATTCACTTTCCTCCCAAGAGATAAATAGGTACCAACTAACTCCTGCATTCTTTATTACTTACCATAACCCATGTAAACTTTCAACAAAGTAAATGCATATGAATATATTTCTAAGGAAAGGAATGGAATTAATAAGTAATCGCTAACATAAATAGTATATCACAAGTTAATTGAAAGCTAAATGACATAATTATAGAATGTGAGCTCCAGAGGAATTTTAGAGAGCTCTGATTCATTTTAAAGGCAAGACTACTGAGGCACTGAGAAGTTAAAGGTGGCTGAGGCCATGCAATCAAAGCTTCACAGGTGGGCACTGGTATAAATCGTCTAGAACAGTATTCTGGTCTGTTCAGCAGTCCTTCCTGTAATATGGAAAATGTAAAGATGGGAAAAGAAATATTTGTGTACAGTCATCCTATCTGAAATTCACTCATGATTTTCCACAAATAGTTTCTTTATTTTCTTTAAAGAATTATCTAGGATTGTATTGTCCAATCAAGTAGCTGCTAACCATATGTGGCTATTTAAGTCTAAATTAATTAATATTTGGTACAAGTAAAAAAAATTTCGAGTCACACTTAGTCACATTTCATGTGTTTAATAGCTGCATGTGTTTTTTTAATGGCTTTCCTGTTGGACAACTCAGGCATAGAATATTTCCAGTACTACAGACCAAGCTCTTTAGGACAACAATGATTTAGGTCAGCAATTCTCGATAGCAGCACTATTTAAAAATTGGCATATTTCCTATCGTGGGGTAGTTGTCCTCTGCATTGTAACGTGTTCAGCAGCATCCCTATTGTCTATCCCAAGAGGACAGTAGCATCCTCCACTTACGACAAGGAAAAATGTCTCCAGGCATTTTAAACGTCTCCCAGAAAGCAAAATTCCTCCTTATTCCTCAACCCCACCTCCACCCCCACCTCATTGAGGGTCACTAATCTAAAGGGCCACAATAATAAGAATAAAACATTAAAACTGCTTGATATCACCCTCTGAGAATCTGATTGTTTTCTTAAAAAATTGTTTTAATTAATTTTTAGGAAATTTTGAAGACAAGCAATTTTGCTTAGTTTTATAGGCAGAAACCATGGAGTATAATGAGTTCAGTGCTTTGGGTAATGTCTCTAGATTAACTAAAGGACAATGGGGAATAAAAAGAAGGTCTTTATGGTTTTCCAGAAATCATATTGGAGATTAGGCTGCCTGGGTAGCAATTCTCTTTACCTTCTTCAGCATAATCTCAACTCACTTTAGTTAAATTTTGTTATCAGTTATGTGCAGATTTATGTGAGAATAAAATGTAAAAACTTCAGTTAAGCATAAGCTCTCCAAGTTTTATGTGAACATTCTAGTTTGCTGAGCCAAAGGTTTTATATTCCATTTAGAAAATGAATATATAGACATTAATATGAAAATTTAAAGGTTGAGCCTTCACACTGTTATGGGTGCATTAGTGGAATGATTTCTAGATTCATCCACTAGGGTAAAGAAGCAGTCTATAAATTCAGATTTGTGCTTACATATATGGATTTTTCTGAAATAATTTTGCTCTTTAGCTTATTTAATAAAAGCTGCTATAGTGAATGTGTCTTTTCATTATTTGATGTGTCTTTAAAAAGCCTTGTGTTTTTAAGATCTTGAAAATCACTAATTAGTTCAGTCCAAGCCTTGAGTGTGCCAAAGTTTTATAAATAAGAAAAAAAACGTAGAATTAAGCCTTATAAAAGTATATTTTGGATAGAGTATTCACTATTGTAATATTAGTGAACCAGGCTGAATCTCCTGTGGAATAACACTATTGACGTTATATGATGTACATTTAGTGCCTGTGGTAAAAACCAGTCTTTTCTCATTGAGTTGATTTGAAAGTTGTAAACATTCTTTAAGTTTTTAATAAATAAGTAGAAAATAAATGGTTCACTGGTCAATTTTCAAGTATATATAGCAAGTTCACTTAACTAATGGATGCTGAAAATATTTAAAATATAACACTTTAGTCACATTTAATGATTTTCAAAATTAATTCATAATATTCTTGAAAACATACTTTCTGAACTGTTGCTATGAAAACTATAATATACTTTCACACTAAGGGTTTACAGGTCAAATAGCATTTTAAATACATTAAATTCTACCTGTTTATGAAGCAATAGGTCACAAGGATACTTAATAGCATTTTGATATAGAAAAATCTCATGTTTCATAAAATAGTTAGCAAACTAAACCTATTTGTCACTTTTACAATTCTAAAAGTTTAGCTCCGGAATTATTATGAACAACTTAGAAAGGACATAGTACTTTGAAGTATAATTATGATTGATTAGACTAAACTAACTCCAGCACTGCATTGTGTACTACTTTAATCTTTTTGAAAAGTGAATGAACAGCAGATGGCCTAATAAAGACACTCTGTGTGCTTGCCCCGTATGGACTGGCTCTGAGAGGACCGCATCAACACTTTAGAACCCGTGTATTTGCGGTACATCCGTCTTAGTGAAGGCAGATGGTTAGAGGAAAGAGTAACTTCCAAACTTTTGGATATAGTTTGGGGCTGCATGTTTGGATGAAATATTAATAGGACCCAACTTTCACCTCTATGCTCTTCTCAACAAAGTTCTATCTCTGATAGTTCAAAATATTTTTGTAAATAAGACTGCTAATGCATTTTGCAGTTATGTTTTTTTAAGGGGGTGCGTCATCACCCATGCTTTCAATTATTACTAGAATATTTTGAGCTCTGCAATTTTAATTACTCATCTGATTGTTAAAAGGAAGAAAATGGAAAATGATAGCATTTGCCAATTTGAATATGAAGGTTGGAATGTCACATTTTTCTTAATTTTTTTCATTCTATTAGAATAAATATGGGGGAGGGCAATACATTGCCATCGTAATTGGAATTTAAAACATACAGTTTGCTAATTTAAAAAATTTATCTTTATATCATGAAAGACTAATCAAAAACATTTATTCATAGCATATTAATACATAAGAAGATGCTACTAATTTGAGAAAATGGAAGAGTGGGGGAGAGGAATGGTTTTTAAAAATTTATTTCATGCTCATAGATTGAACTTGAAGTGGTTCAATTAGAATAAAATATTTGGGCATCTGTTTCTGTTTAGAAAATGAATTCTTTTGAAAATCAGTGAATTTTTAGAAACTCTTTTAACATGGTAATTTTTAAAAATTGGTTTTGTATTCTCTAGTGAAATATATTTATGAAGCAACTTTTTTGCACTTTTTGTGTTTTTTTTTTACAGTAATAACAAGTAGTGGCTACAGTCCCAGATCAGCACATCAATATTCCTCACAGCTCTATCCTTCCAAGTAAGTGGTCAGTAGATTCTTTTAGATATGCTAGAAAACGTTTCCGGAATTATCTTTATTACTCTGTATTCACACAATGTAACATCTTTAAGTTGATATACATTTATGTATGTAAATGTGTTATAGGTAGATACTTGGTTTGATTAGTTGGATATATACATATCCTGTACAATTCTAGAAATACAGATACACTCACTTTTATCTGGACAATTTGTTTAATTTTGGATATTTATAAATTGAGGAAGGCATCAAGTTCAAAACAGAACATACTGATTTTTTAAGTGAAAATTCTAAAATGCTGACTCATTTTAAACAAATCTAAAAGGATTACATTTTATTCAAACATCACTTTGTAATTTGTTTCATCATTATAGTATTTTATTGGATTTCTAGTCCTAATAAACATATTTTTGAAGATGATACTTTGTTATTTTTATAACTAATGTAGTCAACTTATTGAGGACAGTTGTAGACTTTTCAAGTTTAATTCTATTGGTTGTATACCGTAATTTGGTGGCAATCACCCAGATGGATCAAGAGTTTGGATCCCTGATTTATACACATTTAAATGTTATTTTCTGTAGCAGCTAAAGTGCCTGTCCTTAAGAACAAGCAGTGGATTGGATATCCATGTGGGAACATTATCTAAAATGTGGCATGGTAAAAGAAATGGCATTCCATTTCATTTCAGGAAGCTGCCTACCTTTGCTTTTTAAGACTTTTTTAGTTTGGTAAAAACAATTGGTAGGGTTTTTAAAGACTTTTGTAGTCATTGCATAGCATTAGGTCATACACATTAACTGGAAATATGCTTACCAGCATTTTAATTAATTGGCCTGAGTTCCATTTTCCTTATGTACATATTAATTAGAATGCTATGTCTGGTGTAAACGAGAACTATAAACCTAGAAAACACTTTAGATATAATATCTAAACTGAATTTCTCATTTTACAGGGAGATAGAGACTTAGGGGGGTTAAATTATTTGTCCAAGGTCACTCGACTGATCTGTAGCAGAGTCCAGGCTCCTGACATTGACTCACATCCTTTCCTGTATTGTTAAAATTATATTGTGGATAAAGAAGAAGATTACTTCCTGGCTATTATAAGGTTTCACTGAATCTAAGCTGTCTGAATTAATATGCAGTCTTTGTTGCCACAGTAATGCTATTTTTCTGATATTTAGGCCCTATCCACACATTCTTTCTACACCAGCAGCTCAAACAATGTCTGCCTATGCAGGCCAGACTCAGTATTCGGGAATGCAGCAGCCGGCGGTCTACACAGCGTACTCACAGACCGGACAGCCCTACAGCCTGCCCGCTTACGGTATTTCTTTCACACCTTCTCTCCTCTCCTTTGGTTATAAGCAGGTAATCCTGCTGGCTAGTAGTTGTGTGTTCTACTAATGAGATGCAACTCAGGAGTGAGATCATTTAGTGATTGAATGCATTTTCCAAACAGACTTGGGTGTGATGTTGCCAGGCATCAAGACAGAGAGTGGACTTCCACAAACTCAGTCTCCATTACAGAGCGGGTGCCTCAGTTACAGCCCAGGGTTCTCCACCCCACAGCCGGGCCAGACACCTTATTCTTACCAGATGCCAGGTAAGCAGCCACACAGGAGACATGTTATATGAGAACGAATTCTTTGAATGAGGCTCCTGGGCTTCAGACTAGAATGGTACAGTCATGACGATGGTTTTAAACAGCAATCCTCTACTCACACCATTCCATCAGAACAGAAACATGATGAAAAATGTTGAATGTACTTCAGGATATATGACCCATACCCAACTCAAATACTTAAGTTTAAGTTGCGTAAAATTGGCAGTAAACCTGTTCCAACAAAACAACCTCCGAGCCGGTCATCATGCCAGCAGTCACGTGTGTACCGTCTACTTCAGTGATTGCAAAAGTTCATGACCAAAACCACTATTTTCTTGTCAGAATTTCTGAAGTAGTCAATGCTGGTTGGAGTCCATTGAAAGTTGAGTTAGCCCTTTTCTAAGTCCCTTTTATCATTGAGGATTTTTTTGTCCACCCCTAAAATATCTCTCCCCTACTGATACTGCATTTCTTAATATGAACACTTATATAATTTGTACCACCTCCCAAATCCTCCATATATGATCATTTTTTAAATTTTTCCTCTTGTTTTTGACTCCAATTAGAAATTCTTTTTTAGTCATTGTGTACTAGCTGCAGAAAAAAAAATTAGTGATGTAATAAAAATATTAAAAGCTTGTTCTGTCTCTCATTTTGTTTATATTGGTATAGTCACAGATTTGGAACTATATTAGCATGTTTAAGGAACTAGAATTGACATTTGAGTCAGTTGACTAAAATGAGATAGTGACTGAGGCCTTTTTAGCTGGGATGGCAGGTCCCTCCTCACCAGGCGTGTAGGTCGAAGAATGTTTGCATACGTGCCACAGACACAGTGAGCCACACGGCCGCGGGCCACATGTGAGAGACCGTGAAGACAGTTCCATTTAGTCCTCCAAATACTTTCCTGTTGGACATTCCTGGTCAGGTCATTTGGCATTGATTACATTTTACTGTTCACTGGTAAAATAATCAGCCACCTCGATAATATTTCATCTTACTCCTTAATAAGTACATTCCACTTAACATAATATTAAGTGAATAAACCAGGTGGTGAAAGACAAATACCATATGATCTCATCTTTAACTGGAACCTAATCAACAAAACAAACAAGCAAGCAAAATATAACCAGAGACATTGAAATTAAGAACAAACGGACAGTAATCAGAGGGGAGGTGGGAGGGGATAATGGGGGGAAAAGTGTGAAGGGTTTTCAGGAACAATTATAAAGGACACATGGACAAAAACAAGGGCGGGGTGGAATCATGGGAGGGAGGGAGGGATGCCGGGGGCGGGGGGGGGGGTGGGAGGGAAAAGCAGAAAATCGCACCTGAACAACAATAAAATTCAAAAGTGTTTAATGAAAGTAAAATATAAATGCAAAAATGAAAAATAGAGAAATAAAAGCTAAAATATTAAAAAGACAAGTACATTCCAAAGCAACATATTTTTAAAGCAAATCTGGAAATTAATAGTTCACTTGTTTTTACCCTAATTTTAAAAAAGTCATTGAATAAATTGCTGACCAAATAGTAAAATTTAGAAGGCCCTCAAATCTGAGACTATTGAAATATCAACCCTATGAGTCTGAGCCCTAGCTCCTAGCACTTTTTGTTCTAAGGAAAGAATAGAGGAATGAAAAGACAGGTTGTTGGAAGCACCACTTAATTCTAAGTGGGTTGTGTGTGTTGATCTCTTAAGCTAACCCTCTGCAAATGTTTAACTCAGGTGATTTTTGTATGCAAATGCAGTTGATATGACCACTTGAAAGTTCAATAGTCTGGAAGTTCCAGTAGTGTGTAAGTAGTCTGTCTGCAGAGTATTTTATTCTGTGAGTGCTTCTACACTTCTAGACACTCAAGCCTTGAAGGTTCACTGCAATCCTTGTTAACGCTGTTCTAGATGTTATCTGTTGTTACGAGAGGGACAGAGTTAAGCACATTTTCCTTATAAATCTCTCAATGTCAAATATCGCTGTCTTAACAAAATCAAAAATGTATTTATCTCATCGAGTTCTGAAAAGTGAAATATTTTTATTTTACAGTAAGTACTTTAACAAGCAATTTTTTATTTACCTGTAGGTTCTAGTTTTGCACCATCATCTACTATTTATGCAAATAATTCAGTTTCCAATTCAACGAATTTCACCGGCTCACAACAGGTATAGTGGTTCCTTGTACTTACACCTTTTATGTTTATTTCTGAGTTTGGAAGAATAGTTTCAGTGCCATGTAAGTGCATAATCCCCCAGAATTTGGGGGATATGTGTAATTCTATATATTTTAGGTATCCTGTTTGTTCAAGTTTTGCCCTTTAAACATTTAAGCTGTGATTATTTTAATCATTTGGCATGGAATTACAAAATGTATTGCATACTTTCCTATAATCTTAAACTAGACATTATTTAATTTCAGACTAAACAAAATAACTAAATGTAATTTTATTTTTCTTGATAAAACAGTTTGTGAACATTAATTGATTGAACTATAATCAATAATTGGATTGTGCTGTCAGTTTTAGTCCAAAATATCATGTTACTAAATAAAATTACTCTTGAACTACTGTTGTTTTCTATTTTTTTATTTTTTAGGTTACTAGATAGTGCTATAGCGTAAGGGAAAGAGTTACCTCTGTTCTGCTTGAGAGAATGAAAGGTTCATAAAGGACAGGAAAGATTTATATCGTAAAACAGATCCAGTGCTCCCTGAATATTTAAATACAGTGGTCCCAATATAAATGTAGCCTGTATTTTGGACTATGGACTGAATACCAATTTATTATTTTAGCAAATACTCATTGAGTACTTAATTCTGTATTAGGAGCTGGTCTGTATCCAGGGAAATGAGGTGGGGGGCAGGGTGGATCGGATGTGATTCCTACTTCGTGGAGTTTACAGCCCACTGAGAGAAGCAAATAACAAACCAGTAAACACACATAAATATATAATTAGAAAGCATAAGGGGAGAGAACAGGTCCTATTAAAAATATTATTAGAAGTCTAACTTGCGCAGGGGTGATTTTGTGGAAGGCCTTTCAGTGGAACCGACATCTAGGCCAGGTCCCCTAAGGGCTGGGCGAGGAATGAGCGCAGGGGTGGCTCGGGCATAGAAAGCAGCCTGTACCAGACCCCTGGGGAATGAACAACGTGGTGTGTCTGCAAACAGAAAGCAGGCTGGAGTTCAGTTTGTACTTGAGGGTCCCGTGGGGAGACATGTCTGTGGAGATGGGCAGGGCCCTGCCCATGTAGGGCCCTGTGGTGTATAGGAAGGAATTTTGATTCTATTCCAAGCCCAACGGAAAGCTATGAAAGGATTTTGAGCAGGAGACTAGCGTTGTGTGATTTATGTTTGGAAAAGATTACTCTGGCTTCAGGGACTTTGGAGGAACCCAAAATGGAAGCGAGGACACAAATTAGAAAACCTGTCCGTTGGCTACAATAGGAAGTGAAGGTAGCTTGGACCAGGGTGACAATAGTGGAAATGAAGAGAAGCAAAGGCACTCTTCATTAAGTACCAAAAAGACATTACATTTACAGGAACCTGGTAGTCTGGACCTTTCCAGTATGTAAATTCATCTTCCTTAAGGCTGTAGCAGAGCGCTTTAGCGCACAGGTGCTGGTCAGGCTCTCTGGCTTCCAGTCTCTGCCCTGAAACTTGCTGGCTGTCTGACCCTGGGCAGATCACTTAAGCACTGTGTGCCTTTGTCCACTTCAATGTAAAATGGAAATAATGATAATACCGAACAGGGCGTTGGGAGGATTCAATCACTAAATCCACTGAAGGCTTTAGACCAGTACCTGACACAAAGTAATCACTATGTAAACGTTCATTTTTCCCACTTTCCTCTGAAAAAATGTGTTGCTATGAAATTCGTCCAAATATTGCTAAGGGCTTTTTTATTGGCTCACTGCTGATAATGGGGAACATCAAATTTAGAAATTAACAGATAAATAGAATTTCAGTTTTCTGCCATACTAATTAATTCTTTTGGACAAGATTTGCTTATACACATATTTACTTATACAGAGAATTTCCTTTTTCAGAAATCACATCCAATGTGGATCTTTATTCCCTTACGAACATGCAGTAGGGATGCCTAATCCTGACCAAGGCTGTGTCAGCATTAATAACACTTTGGGCTAAAACACACTAGATATATTAAACACCAATTATGGCAACAAATCCCTGTTCGTTATATTAATGTAAAAGGATTTTGAAGGATAATTTAGATCATTGTAAGCTTCTTAAAAATTTTTAGTAAAAAGCAAGTCAGAGGAGTTGACCCATGCTTTTTTTTTCTCTCTGTAACAAATGGGCAAATTAAATGTTTGAAAATCTCACTAAAATCTTTAAGTCAAGGCCTCAGGTGGCATGTATCCTGTGAAAAACTGGACAGGAAAGTTATTTATTCATCTTCTTTCGTTTACTCTTTACCTCCTGCTAAGAAAGCAAAATTACTGTGATAAAAATCACAGTAATGCAGTTGGAGGTGTGCATGGAAGCTGGGAGGGGCAGCCATACCTGCTCCTTGCAGGTGATGTTAGAAGCTATATGAGAACAGATGCTGGGAATGTGAGCTGATTTCCTTGTTTTATTGCCTCTTCAACTGCATAAGACCTGATAGTTTAAATCCTTGGATAAATAATTGTAGGGCACAGTGAAGTATATGCACGCTTTAGACAGATTAAAATGTGGGTCTTAGATCTGGTGTGCAAAATCAGCAGGGTAGTTCATGACCATGTGCATGCAGAAGGCGCCCGCAAAATAGTCTCCATTCATTCGGATCATCTCAAAGCTCTGGGCTGCAAAACATGCAGAGTCAAATACTAATCTTACAATATACCATAGTGATAGCTTTTCTTTCAAGCTGTAAAACACACACATATCTTAATTACTGTTTCAGGATTATCCATCTTACACAGCCTTTGGCCAAAACCAGTATGCACAGTATTACTCAGCATCGACATATGGAGCGTATATGACATCAAATAACACAGCTGATGGCACGTCATCTTCAACCTCAACCTATCAGTTGCAGGAATCTCTCCCAGGACTGACTAGCCAACCAGGTACAGATCTTCATCCAGGTGAAATACTTTCATATGTTTTGCTGTGTCTAATAATATTAAGAAAATGGCCCTGGCCAGTGTGGCTCAGTTGGTTGGAGTGTCGTCCCATAACTGAAAGGTTGCGGGTTCGATTACCAGTCAGAGCACATGCCTGGGTCAGTCCCCCGTCAGATGGCACCCAATCAATGCTGTTTTCTCGCATCAATGTTTCTCTCCCTTCTCTCTCCCTTCCTCTCTCCCTAAAAAGCAATGAAAAATGTTTCTGGGTGAGCATCGATGAATAAATACATACATATTGGAGAAAATGGACAGTTAGAACCAAAGCTGAAAGCTCCCAGACAGTTATGCTGCTGCTTAATGGGTGCTAGTACACTGTATAAGATGAACTACTTCTGTCATTTCAGAAAGCACTTCTTTTAGATGTGGTGCAGTTAGCAGCTTTTAGTTTTAAATGTCAGTGTACATATGAATATAAAAGGATGTATAAAGGTCAGTGGACCTTTCACCAGGCTAATTATTTTGTGAAGATCTTGACAGCCTGGAAAAGGTGTTACATTAACTCCTTTGGATGTAACTAGCCATATTCCCTTTATGCTTGAGAGACTGTGTAGTTCCTTCCTGTGTGAGTCATCAGTACCTCCAGTCAATGAGTGTTCCCTGCATTTCTAGGATTTGTAGGATCATTGCTAGGCAGTCTCATATCTTTGTCTAATTAGCACATATTTAAAGTCTAATGTATTTTTTGTTGTCTGAAATTTACTTGACTTCTTATTGGAATTGTATTTGCTCACACATATTTAACCCAGATAAAGTATTTGAAGTTAAAAGCAAGTTTAATGGAGAGTCATCATAAGCCCAGTCAAAATTCCAGCAGGAGTTAGTGGAGAAATGATCAAGATGATTCTAAAATTTAAGGCAAAGAAACTAGAACAGCCGGAATATTTTTGCAAAATAAGAATAAAGTTTGAGGGCTTACATTGCCTGATTTCAAGACTTGTAGAACACAGTAATCAAGAATGTGTGGTATTGGCAACAGAACAAAACAGAGGGTCCAGAAATAGACCAATATACATATACTGGGAAATGGATTTTGGCAAAGGTGCAAAGGCAATTGGAGAATGAATACTTTTTCAAAAAATGGCACTAGAACAGTTGGACAGGCATATACCAAAACAAAAATACAAAGAAAACCCACAAAAAAAAGCACACCAGAATTTCAACTCGTAACTCATGCTATATACAATACATGTAAAAACTAGAACTGACTTCTAGAAGACATGGAGGAATCTTTGTGGTCATGGGTTATGTGAAGATTTTATAGATATAATAGATAATTTTCATATCTTATCAGATCATTGAATTTAAAGAAGAAATTATTTCTACTTGTACCTATATTATTCTCTCAACCAAAATCATAACAACACACATGTCTGGATTTTTAACATATTCTGTGATCTCAGAACTTTAATCAAGGTACATTTAAGTTTGATTTTGCCTTTTCAGATATGACATACACAAAAAAAGTAAACACATTTACAATTGTGAGATTTTTCTCTATTACTGATGAAATGTGAGACCTTTAGTTTAAGAGTATGAAAATTGTTTCCCAGTAACTAGCCCTGCATTTTGGAATTAAAACAGAGGCCTAATAATTAAAAACACAATTTTTCATAAATCTTTCACTGTTGACTTCTCCCATTTTTAAAATAGAAACATACTTCATGTTTTATAAGACAGAGCTTGTTGTTTTGAATTAGAGATAAGCTCTAAAGAAATAAGGTTGGATCTAAATATCTAAAGCATGGAAGGTACAGTTGTTCCCTATTGTACTGATTAAAGGACAATTATTCAATCATGTATAGTGTTGACCCAAGAATATGCCTGAGGCAGTTGGTAATGACCAGTGTTATTTGGAAATTGCAAATAGCATTCAGTTATTACTTTACCTTATTAGGTAGTTTGACAATGTTTTTAAAAGAAACATTACCAGGCTGATTAAGAACAGATACTTTAGTTCATTATCTTCATAAAGATCTCTCTTTGCTTTTAACATAAAGATTATCTTAAGTATATATTATACTCTCGATTTGCATTCAGAAAGTTTGATGACTGTTACCACATTAGAGATATTTTTAGCTCCTCCTTTTTAAAATATTTTAAACATCTTTAAATTTTGAAAGGATATAATTAGTGACTTGTAACAATATTATTCTTCACTCTGAGGCCTTGGCAAACATTACAATACATTAGCTAATTAAACTTTACAAGTGCTTCAAAAAAAGTAAGGGATATAGTAAGATCACTCCACTCTTTGAAAAGATGCCAGTTTTTTTAGGCAGAACTCAGTAGACTTTCCACAGCTTCATGGCATTTCACTTAGGATAGGAAGGAAAGCGAAGTGCTAATTCATTTACTAGAAGGTCACAAGAGGATTCAGATAGAAAGAACTGACCACAGTTAACCAACCGCTCTGCCGATCTGCACTTTCCCCACCTGCAGCATTAATGTACCCTGGTGCAATTACCTGAGTGAAATTTGGCAGAGGCTCTGGAATTGACAACTTTCTTCTTTAAAAAAAAAAAGGAGGGCGTGTCAACAAATGTTTAATGACCAATTGAGCTCAAGTTACTGGTTTTACCCTTTATCAGAAAAAAGGATAGCATCTTCAGAAGATACAGAGGTCAGAACAGTTCCACCTGGATGGTGGCTCCAGGAGCCCAGATATAGCCTTGGCCCCTTCAGAACCTGCTCTTTGACTATGAAGTTCTTCTGATGAACTGGTTGGCTCTCACTCTCACAAATTGTATAAAGTGTCTATAACTCTTGACTACATTTGTAATCTGGAGGGTCTGCTACTATTTGGGGAGGAAGTGTAGTCTAGTGGTTAAAGCAGGAGTTCTGGAATCACACCAGAATTCCACATACGAGCTGTTTTATCTTGGGAAGTTTGGTCCCACATGTGTTCAGTTTTCCCATTTTTAGAAGAGGATAGTGAAAGACCAAATTCACTGGGTCAAAGAGAGGTTTATATCATAGAGACAGAGGTAGAGGTAGAGCTAGAGGGAGGATGGAGTTAGGGATAGAGTTGGAGATAGATAAAGAATGTTTATAACAAGAGTGTTTAAAAATCAGTAAGAAAAAGAGCCTGATTTTTTTAATGGGCAACAGTTATATCATAAAAAGAAGATACCAAATGGGAAATGAAAATATAAAAACAGCATTTCACATCATTACTCATCAAGAAAATGCTAACTAAATCTACAGTGAGATACCACCATAACCTCACAATGATGAATATGAAGAGACTAGCAATCTCAAGAATTGGCAAGAATGTGGAGCAACTGGAATTCTTGTTCCTAGTAGGAGAGTGAGTTAATACAGCCACTTTAGAGAAAGGTTTTCAGAGTCTACTAAACATGAATGTATGTCTTTCCTCTGACTCAGCAAGCCCTCTGCTAACACATAAATTAGAGAAATAGGAGTTTATGTCCATAAAGACAAGAAAAAGAATGTTTGTGGCAACTTTATTCTTAATTGCCTAAAATTCTGAATAACCTGAATGTCTGTGAACAAAATAGATACAGATGATGGTGTACAAATATAATAAAGTTCTAGCCATATTAAGGGAAGAACAACTGTCTCAGTCTACAGGTGTGAACCAGTCACACAGACATAATAAGCAGTGAATAAAGCCAAACATATTTCAATAAACATTTTAAAACGAAGACAGTACATGGCAAATACTAAAAGTTTAATAAATGTGGAGGTACTCTTCTTAGTTCTTTAAAAAGCTATGCCTTTACCTCCATCAAAACACTTCCACTCATGTTTTTTTTTTTCAGATTCTTAGAGCCCTTTTAAGATTTTTCAGTAACTTGGAATGAATCAGTGGTATCAAGTCCTACTTTTATGGAAGCCCAGACACTTCCTGGGAACAGTCTTTTCCCCTTCCTCTTCCTGTTCCTTTCACTTCCTTTCCTATGATAGCTTTTGGCTCCCTGTTCCTTGGAATAGCTGAGCTGTTCCTGCCAAACTCTTATGGATCTAGTCAACCATCAACCACCTGTAACATTACAGTGACTTTGGGATTTTGCACGTTTTTGTCCTTTCAGCTCTTGAACTGTTGCAAGAACAAAGCTGCCTTATGACAGTTAACACCTGAAAAATGATGTATAACAAATAGAAAGACAGGTTGTATGGGATGTCATCCCCCCAAAATTATTATAAGCTTATTTAATAAGTAGAGGGCTAATTTGATCAGCATTTTATTTGAAAAAAGACATTTGATTTACAGGACATAATAACCTTAGGAAAATTCTGTTAAGAAAAACTAAAACTAGAAAAAATTGTGTGTGCCATATTTTAGAAGTTGATGAATGTTTAAATACCTAAAGCCTAATTAATGCCTACTTAATGCAAGTAAGCTGAAACATGATTTGCTCTATGGCAGGGCTACATTCACCCTCAGAACTGAAGAACTTTTTACTCTGCTGTCAGCTCTCGCACGGGTGGTAGCAGAGTCTCAGGCAGTGAACAGCTCTAGCGATGTTTTAAGAGCAGATAGTGTTTGGAGCAACCACATTTTTTTTATGCTGTCCTGACATGCACAGCGTTTCTCAAAGAAGATGTTATAACCATTATAAACAATTACAAGTTAGCTGTGTAAAATTTGCTATTTATTTAGAACATCTCAGAAAAAAATATTACCTAAATGTTTACTAGTTTGTTCACATTTGATTATTTAGATAAATATCTCCTCAGCTGTCTTCACAATTATTTTACTTTAATTTCATGATAGAGCATGATAGTCATAACATCTTTATGTTTAAAAATTGCGTAACCTAAATGTAGCATCGTTTGCTATCAGGCTCTAATAGAGTGTTTACTTCATGCATATGATTTAAAGCCAATTAAATATAAATCAGATCTATCTCAGTAATTCAAAAAGGTAGCTGCTATTGCCTTATGCTTTAATATAAAAAACTGAGATTCACAGAGATTGAGTAAAATATTTGCTGCCGTAGGGTAAAACTGACTCTTGTTACTCGTGAGGTTTTGCTGCACCTCTGCCTTAACCTAGCACCCCTCACACACACAGATTTGCCACCAGTCAGCACTTCCTAACTTGTAAGATGCTTCACATCTTACATGTTAGTTTCAGACATGTCAGACTTTCAGGCATCTGTGGGACATGCAGAAATCAATTAGCTACAAAGTCTGAAACTTAACATGAAGACAATCTTTGGGTCTTCACACAGAAGGTGATTAACCTCTGAGAGGGTCAGATCACCCAGATGATGTGGCATGAGAAGAACAGTGATCACAGTATGAGACCCTTAAGTGTCCGCATGTAGGGAATGGGAGGAGGAAAAAGTCCATGTCTCCTAGGCAGAGAAGGACTGGTAAGGGAGAGTCTAGAACTAGGAGAGTGCAGGTGTCAGCTGCCAAATAATGGCTCTGAGGATGTGCTGTTTAGGAGGATCCAAGCCCGCATGGAGATCCAGAAAGATAAGGACTGAATCCATTGCACTTGTCAATGAGGTAATTATTGGGGACTTTGCGTAAGAGTAGTTTTAGAGTCTGGATGAACTGAAGCTAGATTATGGCAAATTGGATGTCAGGCAGTGGAGAGAGACGTGCTGTCCCATCCTGTGCTGCTGGAAACACAGAGCAGTTGGGCACTTGTAACCAGTACACAGTGAGACCTGCTGTGAGTGCAGACCACGCAGGATTCGGTGTGAAATGGAAATGACATGTTATGTAAAACATGTCATTGATAAGCTTTATGTTGATTACATGTTGAAATGAACATTTTGGATAAATTAGGTCAATTAACACACACAAATAAAGTTAATTTTACGTGTTTATGTATTTTTTAATGAGGCTTGTGAAAATTTTAAATTGTACACGTGGTTCCATTTGGGGCTCTCATTACATTTCTGTTGGACAGCACTAGCATGCACTCTTCTTTTAAGAAGTGTCATTTAAGAAAAAGAAGATTACAAGCAGATAGCTTCTAGATGGAAATGCAAGGTCAAAGGCAAGGGCTTTTAAACTTACCTGCAGCCCCAGAAAAGAAAGGTTAGAAGGAAGGTGAGACAGGGTTTGATTAATAGACAACAGAGCAAGACTCCCTGCAAGGTGCGGCTGGGGAGCCAAGTTTGCAGGTGGAGGGAGGCATGGCATTGATCCAGGAGATGGTTCACCCTCTGAACTCTGATGTGAGGAGGCGAGAACAGATCTAAATTGAGATAAATATGTAAGTGGGGGGAAAACAGAACCTTGAAGGCACATGGAGTATTAACGGCATTCGAGTGTAATAGATCACAGAGATTGAAATTGGGATGGATTTGTCTGACCTACCAAAACTCTGACTGCATTGGGTTTTGGGTATTTGGGAATATAAATCTTTACTTTTTTTGTCCTAAGGAAATTTCTGTTGTATAAGAATTTGTTACGAAATTAATAGTGAAGACTCATACCTGATCTCAGAATGAAGTGCCCTCCTTGATATGAGTTGCGTTGTTCACAGGAGAGTTTGATACGGTGCAGAGCCCCTCCACACCCATTAAAGACCTTGATGAGAGGACGTGTCGGAGCTCCGGGTCCAAGTCCCGAGGGAGAGGCCGCAAAAACAACCCCTCGCCCCCGCCAGACAGCGACCTGGAGGTATGCTGGCTCATCCTCAGAGAATTTTACTTTTAGTGAATACATATTTTATGCTTACAGTATCATAAAGCTTCAAATTTTATATATATATAAATATAAATATATAAATATATATATATTTATATATATATATTTATATAGCCATCATAGTGGCCAAATTGAAAGCAATAACAACTTAAAAACAATGATGATATACAAATTCTAAGTCTGAGATAATTGCATCTTTTGATCCACCTTGGCACAAACAGAAATTTTAAAAATAAAGCCACTGCTTGTTGGTCATTTTCTGAGAAACACTTCCTTTGATAGTAGTAAGGTAGTGAAAGATATTTACATGGGTCAAATAATTTTGAAAGGCAAAATTAATTTGTGTGCAAAGGAAGCATTGTCTTTTAAAAATAGGAAAAATTCCAATCATCTGATACAGGTTAAAATTTTTATATCTGTAAAAATTTCCATGTGTCATTTTTGTTTCTGGTTGAAAACTCTTTTGAGATGTATCCATATGATTCAGATTGAGTTTTTATTATAAAACATCAGAAGGAAGTATTCTTAACCATAACTTGTTACTTCTTAAACAACTGCATACTTCAATTAAGAAAGAACATGACATTTCCAGAGTTAGTAAAGTTAAGTAATAGTCATCGCACCTCTTCATAAAAGATCATTCCCTTTACTTGAACAACAGCAGCAGATTTGAATGCATGCAGGAACTCGGCAGGTGATAATCAGTGAGTGGGCAAACTGGGCTAGGAAGCCAGCCTCTCGTGGGGAGCAGGGAGCATTCACCCAATCCGAAGGGCCCACCCATCACTGCCATGCAAAACGCCAGCCAGCTCTGCCACAAATTCCAGTTCCTCTGCTGCTGTCAGAACCCCAAAGTCTGTTGGAAATCTCCTAATCTTGAAAAGTTGACCAATAATTTGAAATCTTTCACACATTGTACAGGCCAAATCACCCATCTGATGGTCTAAGCTGACTCAAGAGTCCACACTTTGCATTACTTATGTAGGGATTACTTAGGAAGTCTTTTAAATACTTTTAAAATTTTAATTGTTTGCATGTATTACAGTATTCCATGAATCCATGAAGCATAAAAATTTTAAAAAGTAGTTTCAAGTTCACTTCTATTATAAAATCCAAATGTGTCTTGTGGAGTACTGACTGCAATCAAATATTTGGATGAATTGTTTCAAATTAGGATATCTGATTTTTAAGCTTATTACTTGTATCACTCTTGCTCCACAAGGTATTACAGGGTTAGCTCTGGAAAGTCTGGAAAAAAATTAATGAGGAGCATAGGTTTCGCCAAAATGATGATATCCAATAACAAATTGAGATGTTTTCTACCTCTAAAGAGATTTCTGCTTCCGTAAAATGGGGTCATTCTTTGATATTTATCTTTTTCTTCAGCGTGTGTTTGTCTGGGACTTGGATGAAACCATCATTGTTTTTCACTCACTGCTCACAGGTTCTTACGCCCAGAAGTACGGCAAGGTAAGGAATCCAAAAGGTTTACCCCAGGAAACCTTTATAGAATTCCACTTTGTTCAAAAATCAACTGCCATTTAAAAATACACTGAAGTGTTTTTATTGCAGTCTGTCAAATCTGCTCCTGATTATGTCTTTCCAGTGGCCCACTGTTTTTTAATATGAATTCGGCAAATTTTACCAAACTAATAAGAAATGTCATTCTTTTTTCTTCTTCATGACTTTGACTTTTCTACACTGAAACCAAACTTATTAGTGTAATATAATTATTTTTAAAAATTTTTTCATATTGAAATGGACTTTAAATATTATAAAATTATATGTTATCCTCTAATACTCTGGAATTAATTTGTTGTACCAGATGTTGCCATGGCATACCATTTAGAATAAGGAAGTAATCCTTTGTATGATAGGTCCTTTGGATTTATGAATAAAAGTGTGTTTTGTAACTTCAAGTAAGAACACGAACAGCAATCCCCCCCACACACAAATTTAGAGACAGGTGGTCTCATTACTGCTACTCCTTTTTCTGTCTGGCTATTGTCTTTGTAGTGAGGTAGCTTCTCATAACCACGGTGTTTTGCACCTTTGCGAGTGCTGTTTCAAATACTGGTGCAACTGCACCAGGCTCCTCAGCTGGAAACACAGTTGTTCAGTCAATAATGTTCACATCTTTGACTCTGTAGGACTCAGAATCTAACCACAGTCAATTCACATCATGGTGGCCTCTTTCAATCACCAGATTCAAAGTTGCATCTGACTTTGGTTACTTTAGGAATCAAACCTGCAGAAATGTCTTCCTGTGTACTTATGGTGTCACATTGTTTAATAGAGTCTTCTGTCAGCTCAACATGCAGTTTTTAGCAAGTTTGTTAGGCTTTGTCTACTGGACAAATAATGATGAATTGCATTCATGCATTTCCTCCTAAATTGCACTCTTGGTGAATCTGCATTGCATTTGATTTCTAGTGTAAGTAATGAATGTTGTTAAACTGAGATAAAAGGTAACAGTTTTGCTTAATGACCATTTAGAAGGAGTCTTAGTGCCTTTGTTTCGATTGTCATTACCTGTAACAGTGGTCTTGAAAGCAGGATGCATGTGTATGTGCCAGAAATCCACAAAATGTTCCACCAAAATAAGGAAAGAATACACTAGAGTATGTGTACACACTCACACACATATCTTGTCCTTGCCATTGTGTCTGCTTCATAATGCACATGCTTTATAAATGCATGCATGTGATGATAATTTAAAGAATATGTATATAATTCATAAGTAAATTAACTATCCATAAATTTGAAGTGCATGCCAAAATTCTATTACTAATAGAGTATACCATCTAAAATGTTTCCAGACCTTAATCTACAGCATTTCTTCTGGAATTGTTTTGACTTATGAGGAGTACACAGTAAATCCTGTTGAACTAACTGCAGTATTTTTGTGCAGCAAAGTTTCATATTAGGTAAATGTTTAAAATCAACAATCTAACTTGAACACATGAGTCCACATAAAGTTCCCTTCAAAGCAGTCATCATTAGAGTCTATAACTAAATATCTGTGCCACTTTCCTTATGCCAAATCAGTGGTGGAACTAAACTTTTTGCAATTACCTTTAGATTTCTTAAGTATTTCCTGACTTTAGATCTCCATTCTTTTGTGGTAATTTTGATCTTTTGTAATGGTAAGATCATTGAACCCAAGGAGTAATGTGCATAGTCAAAATACCACTATTTTTCTTTTTGTCAAAAATACCATAAAGTTGCTTCTGTCCCAGAGCACAGACTTCCGGTTGGGATAAGATGGGGAGCCAGTAAAGACCCCAGGAAGGCAAACCATTAAAAAAAAGTGAAGCTGCATTCTTTGAGTGACTCACAAATTGGCTCCAAGAGAAATCACACAAGCAAAGTTCTCATGCTTCCCTCACCAGGAGTCCCTCACTGAGATAAACCCGTCACCTCCTCACGTGGCAGCCTGGACATGCAGCATTCGTTTCACATACCAGTTCCATTATTTTAAAGTATTGTCAGAAGCTTTGTTTGAATACAAAATAGACCCACATTTTGTGCATACAGGTGCTTAACCTGTAAACCATCAAAAGCGTGGGGCAAAGTGAGGGGAAGAAGAGAACTAATGTTTATTTAATACCCACAGTGTGCCAGGCAACACGCCTCACAATTTTAAAGGGCAGGTTGCTCTCCCCAATCCGTAGATGAGAAAACGTGCTCAGAGAGGGAGTAAACTGCATGGAGGTCACACAGCCAGTCAGTGGCAGAGATGAGCCCTGGGTCTTTGGACTATTTGACCCCACAGCTGCTGTCACTCCTGCTGCAGCACAGCACACAGCATCGACAGTTCATCTACCATGGGCACAGTGTACAAAACTCTTCCTAAACAGGAGGAAGGACAATTAATGGTACTGTGTAGATAGTCATATGAGTTCTTCAAGTTGAAATTATTCTAATTCTCTTCTCTCAAACGGTTGGGCTATGTTTCCATCAACAGGTAAAGCTTAAGAAATGCTAGGTGAAACAAAGTGTGGGCGACAGATGTCAGTACCTCCCGAGGGTGCGGAATAGGAAAACAGTCAGGGTCACTGCTGGAAGGTGTGAGGAAGATAAACTCGCATGTGGAGAACACCTACCGTGTGATAGAGCCTGTGTTTGGCATCTCATAAGCAATGGGGATGGAGGTTAAGAAAGAGAGCCTTTCAGTCTTTGAGCCTTGGAGATAAACCTAACTTGGAAAACCCAGTGCTGATGCCATACAGCTTTCTGACATTCGGCAAATTACTTGATCCCTCAGTCTCAATTTCTGTAAACCAGGAACAGTACTCTCTATAGGGAATACGAGTTAAAGAGCAAACATGTGTAAAGAGCTTAGCAGGACCTTGGTGTGAATTAACACTCAGAAAATGTAACTGTTATTAGTCACTTTCACAAATGTTATCCCACTTAATTCTCATAATTACTGTGCTGTGATTTATGGTGCTCTAAATTCTATGGATGAGGAAGCCTGGGTTATGAGGGTTTAAGAAACTCGACCAAGGTCACAGAATGATAAATGCAGGTACAAGTCTCATAACAAGTCCTTGTCCTTAGTACAGTTCTCTGTTGCTCAAAGGGAGCCTGTTAGAGCTCTCGACTTAAGAAATGTCCAAACTTGCAGTGAATTTTTGAGTTTATTTGAGCCAAACTGATGACCATTGCTGTGGAGCCAGATATCATCAAAGGCTCTGGAGAAGAACAGTTTGCGGTTTCTTTAATACAATTGAGATTAAAGAGAGGCTGGAGGGAAGTTTGCATGAAGGTGGGAGAAAGCAAGGAAGGGATTGCACTACAGGATAGTTAAGGTCGTGTGCTCTCTTGAGTTTGGTCCACTTTAGAAGGAGGGATGTGAAAGGGGACATTCCAAAGGTGTGTTAACCTGGATGCACCGAAACACCAGGCAGAGCTCATGTAAGGCAACAGTAAGCCTTTTAGTAAAGAAGCTACAGGCCTGGGGCGTGACCTCCATGACCTCACCAAGGAACTTATGATCGCGTCAGTCTGTGAGGCCACTTCCCATAGAACCCCTTTTTCATCCACAGAATTGACCACGTTGAATGATACTTAGGACAATTTAAGAAAAGTAAAAATGTTCTTAAGCTCAAATTTTCACATCAAAATGAAAATACCCTTACTGAATTCCATGAAAAACAATGTAAATGACTTTATTTATTGAATTATTGTTTACATATTTCTAAAAGTCACTTGATCATTGACATTTCTCTTGCTCTCAGTAAGGAAATTGGCATTGCCTTTTAGCTAGTAAGACGTTAGTATCTTGGCATATTAAGAAATAGCTAAATAAGGGATGTCATATCAAACCCATCTTGTGAAGCTGGGGACCACATGCCCCCCAGGGGTCACTTAAAGGGACAGAGTGAACATTGGGGAACTTGAACTTCACCGCAAAGCGTACATTAAAATGGTGAAACTAGCCCTCTGCAGACAGACTGTATCCATCTCACAAATATTTACTCAGCACGAGGCAGACCTGTCTCCTGGTCTCGTGGAGCTTACACGCAAGTGAACTCACTTCAGGGAGCAGTAACCACTGGAAAGACAAGTAACTTGTGCTTTAGGGACTTGATGTATTTTAGAGCATTAGTGTGTCATGTGCTTTGAAGCCATGATTTTCTAAATTTACTCCACAGTGAGGGTGCAAGGGAAGTAATCCAGGCCGGGGAGAAGACTGGAGGAGGAGTGAACAGTGGCCTTATGCTGCCAACTTAAAAGCCCAGCTCCCAAGGCTACTTGCTCATTTTAGACAACATCGATATAAAAGCGGCACTGGGGAAATCTATTCCTCAAGATGAATCAGTTGGTTACTCTTATATTAAACAGTCTATACACAGTTATACAGAAAGACTTCTGAAGGCACCAGGGAGATTTTGAATTATAGAATAGTCATGAGGATCAATACTGACTTACCTGCATGTCAACTGAGGAAAAGCAACATGCATTGGAGAGTGATTAGAATTAACCAAGTGCTGGAGCCATGGAGGGGATGGCATTGTTGACACCATGCAGATCACCACGTCTCTGGGCATGATGGCCAGAGCACTCTGGCCTTGGAGGGACAGTGGACCTGAGTTCAAACTCTAGCTCCACCTCTCTTACTGCACTTGTGCCAATGGATGCGTAGTTTATTCCTTCCTGGTGAGACTCGGTTACCTTTTTCCTAACATGAGAGGAACAATAAAGCACTAATTTGATTAAGAGGGTTAAATGAGCTCAAGCGTTAAAACAGAATGTTGCCTACCACATAATAAACATTCAATAAATGTCACCTATTTTATTTGGTTTCAAGGAAATCTGAATGTTGGGGAAACTGGGTGTTTTCTAGAGATATTCGTGTCTATTTGTATTGGTTGTTTTATCTCATCATGTACTGTATTCACAAAGCTCAGTGTTTAGAGAAGTAGAGGGTGTGTGGAGAGTGGCTGTGGGACATATAAAAGAAC